CCGGAGAGAGCAAAACATGCATTTATTAAATTGAACGACTTTTCTGAGGCGGCACATTACATCACTCCTCTTACATACCCAGATGGAATAAATAGCACCCAAAAAAGGCGAATGTTCCATTGTCGTCAATTCAGTCCAACCATCTGAAAGGCAAAATGAAATTATTAACTTTCTATAACATTATTATTCTGCAAAATTTGGTATATTTCGCAGCATTGCTGACTTCAATTGCCCCTAGGCAGAAGAAACTTTGCAATCCCTTCGGCACTTTGCAAGGTACTGACAGGCGACTAACCGTTCATAGACGTCCCGAACGAGAGGGTTGGATGTGGTGACAACGTTGGGGAATTGGACAAACTGCCGTATGAGAAAGACTGTGGCCACAGTGACGGCATCTGTGTAGCGGAATGTGAAGCTGTAGCGTGTGTCCGTGCAATGCTCGTGAAGGCCCTGACTAGCCATGATGATGCTCTGTTGCATCACCTCCACCACTGCCACGTGGGTGACCACTCGGAAGGCCGCCGTGTCTGTAGTATCAGCGCCCGTCGCCAAAGCAGCCACCTCCTCGTCTTGACAACCTGTTGCGTCGCACCCATGCTCCTCGATGAGGAAATCGCGGATCTGGTTGCGCAACACGTTCGCCAGGGTCACTCCCAGCCTAGTCTTCCCATGAGGGTACATAAATCCTGCTGTACAATTGTGCTTAGCAGACGTGCTACTTTTGCAGTCTGAACTTCCACATTAAGGCCAATGTGCTCATTTTCATGGAGAGCTCTTAATTTGCGGCTCTAGAGTCTTCACAATTTCAACGCACATGACTGATTTCGCTCCTCTCAAGCGATCGTCCTCATTCATGATCTGGCTACTCATTCAAAATTTATGTTTTCACTTTCCTGATTGTCATTTTTGGAAAAGTGTGAGTGAATTTAAGGGAGATTTAGTTATGCGTTGTCATTTTACTCTTCTTTGGATACGAATTCTGCAATAACAGAAAGTTCGGGTGACAACAAAAAATACATTTTCCAGTGTGCTCAAACTTGATTTTACAATATTCCACCTGGTGCGTGATTTTCATTGTGAAATTGAATCCGTTTCATGAGAGAGGTGCGAGCAGCTGGGACCAGTTTGAAATATGAGTAGCCGTGATTAGTTGCCTTGGTATTAACTGCTTCAAACTGGCACCTCCAAGCATAACCGCATTTACCCTCCAAAGTACCTTATAACTACTTCATAATACCAAAGTGGCTCAGCAATCCATACCCAAATTATTCCTCATTACTTCAGCAACTCGACTGGTCTGAAGATGGAGAGCTCTGCCCACGTCAACCAGGCTTCGTTCAGACGGTTCACGTGATCCACCACCTCTTTGGGTGTGACTCTTACAATACAGAGCAATTCATAGAATGCGGAATAAATTCTCGCCTTTTTAATTTGGTGATACTTGCCGCCCCTCATCATGCTGATGGTGAGTCTGGACAAAGTGGTCTTAATCCTCTCCGAGATGCGTTGCACCGGTCGCAGTGAAAGATAGACAGGGGCATTCTTCATGCGCAGGCGTTGTAGCATTGAGAACATGTTGGAGCTCTTCTCCTGCGTGTTTTCCCGTCGTCCACGAGTTGACGACACTGTTGTGTGGACCTAGGGAGATTTCAGCAATGCGCTCACAACAATGACATTGTCGTATAATAACGGTTGTTTTGAATGCATGTATATTGCCAAGTAAACCACTCCAGTCGCCCACAATCCGTAGGCATCATCTATAAACTCAGCTTGCATGCTCCTTTGTGTGCACATTTTAGGAATATTCAGGTCTAGCTGCCACTTCGGTTTATACAATTTGCTCTGCTGGCACTGCACAGAGCAGTAGTTGTCAGACTTGGCTTGTAGCCTTTGAAAACCCCAAGCATCCATTTCCAAAATTCACTTTCCTGGCATAAATATAATGCAGTCTTGGTCACTGCACTTTCATTTGCAGCCGCGTGCTGCTTGAATTTGTGAATAACTTACATTCCCTTTCCTGTCGGAAGCATCGCTTTCCGAACGCATAGAAACATTGCTACTGACAGAAGGCTTTCTCGGTACCATGTGGAAAGTGCTGATGCTTCGCTTGCGCAAGGGTCTCGACGCAAGCAGATTCGAGTCCTTTCGGGGCTGCAGGTGCCCTGTGCTACTCATCTCGCTGCTCCTACCACCGCTTCTATCGCCACTCCTACTGGTGCTCCTCCTGCCACTCACACTACGCGCCATCGTGCGCCCAGTTTGCAACAAAGATGGAGCGGAGGTGATTAAAATCCCACTGCCAGCACCACCCCACACAGGGCTCTCCGAGTGGCGATAGCGAACGCGGTTATGGACGAAGAATAGCGAGGGGGACCGAGCAGCGCCCTGTGTGGTGCCACGTAGAGGCTCGGTTGCCCTTTGAAGAGCCGCCTCCTGTGCGTATTGCGCCTCAGTGGCTTTGGCCTTGAGCAGCAGGCTCTTCAGCTTCGGACAGGTGATCACGTTATCCGGCGAGAGGTCAAGGATGGCTAGTAGGCTGGTGGAATGGGAGTCCACTGCGATCTCACCGAAGTAGACCTAATTGGTCAAGCTGAAACCCCTTTTACTGGCCAGTGCCAGCAAGTGACGCACCCACTAAAGTGGCACGGCGATTTTGAGGTGGTTACTTCAGACAATATTGGTGGTGTATGGAAAATCGTACAAATACTTGCATGGTCAATTCGCATAATATTTTAAGACATCCTAATCAAAGTAGGCGTGAAGTTGAAAGACACTTCAAGGGCTACTGTAAAAAGGATGTTGCAAAAAGAAAGTGCGTTTCAATATACCAAATAAACTTTTACATGAGCTAATTTAGCTGCCTGCTACTGGCGTCACACATATGTGACGCACTGATTTTCATGGCCGTAACAAATCGTGTACAGTAACCAGGTTAAACGCATTTAGAGGAAAAATTTGCATGCCACTTGTTTGGTCTAATGATGGTTACTTCTATAGTTGGCGTTTCATTGGAATAGTAGGTCAACTTGGCTGTAGTTGTCGTTTTTCCTCTGGCACATAATTTTAGGAAAGGGACAGTTGAGTCGTCTCATTAAGTGGGACTGTGGTACAACGTTGTCTCTTGCTTAACACTCCTTTATTCAGCAGTTGAAGGACGTAATGACAGCAACTTACTCTTAGGGCGATGTAAGCGGCGAATATGGTAAAATTGCAAGAATAAAATTCTGACAACTGTGTTTTATTCTTGACAGGGTTGGATGAGGGCTTGTGCACCTCCTGCGATGACTTCACCTTCGCAAAGTTGATTTGACTCTGGTTTTCATCCCCAACCACCAACAAAGCATTTGCGTTGTGCTCAATATCTTCCGCATCACCATCAGTTTGCTCTTCTAGGCCCTCATCTTCCATTCTACACCAGGATTGTCGTGGTGGAAGTGGAATTGATAAGTTAATCGCTGCAGCAATGTGGGATCCCTTCAAGTCATTTACGAGTCGTCTAAAGTCATATCGCAGGCGTTTCATCTCCTGCTCACATGCCATTGCTGAGTTATTCATGTTGAAGTTTGTCTGGATTCGCCATTCTTCCTCCGCGGGTTCGTCATCAACTGCCGATTGTGGTCGTCGTCGTCGTCGTGGAATTTGATCCGCGTTCTGGAAGGTGACGCGCGGCCGAGCATAGCGAAAGTGCTTCAACTCCGTCGCACCATCGCTGCTGCAGCTGCTGCTGCTGCTGCTGCTGAAAGGGGCAAGAATGCGTTCATGACTACGGGAGGCAGGCAATGTGTATTGTTGTGGCGTAGAGGAAGTGACAGCGCTGCGTCGTGTTGGTGTCCACGCGGTGGCCCCACACGCATATGGCCTGCCACTCACACGTCATTAACTAACTTTGTCGTCTGCTTCATCCACATACTGTCAGCCTTCCAAGATGCACAAAAGTCTTCTGAAAAGCAGTTTCAATGCAGTCTTTGTGTTTCGATTAGGGTGATTTGAGGGGGATGAGGCCGTACAAACCACACTTGAGTCTGCTGCATCCGCGGTACCTCAGACCAGGCACGATTTGCGTAAATCCAGTCACCGAATTCTGACGCTCGCGACGTTGCAATGCAGCCCTTTTCTCAATCCGCCTTAGTTCTTTTCCCAATTTGGCAAGTTCAAGTGGGTGAGATCGGAGAAGTGGAGGTATGCTGCCGATTTCTACGTCTTCATCACGTGCTTGTGATTGTGCAATCATTGCAGAACGTTGGAGGGCAGTTAAAAACTTCATTTTCCAGTCTTTGCTTGGTGTGCTTCTGAACCATTGATTCGGATTTTTCATTTTTGCTTTCCACTTTCAGTAACTCGTCCTCACGCGAGGTGGGAAAGCAATTGCTAACTTGGCATCTTTGTGCATTTCCGAGAAATTGCAGTCCACCGAAAAGGATTTGAGGGGGGCATACCATAAATTTGCATTTTGAAAATCCTAAAAGGCACGCATGCTGCACTACTAGACCGACCGCTACTGGAAGGAGCGTATGCATGAGAGCGAAGCAATTTGCTGAATAATGTGATGTACGGCAGCTCACCCTGATGCAAGACTGGAAGGTTTGCAGACTGCCAAGCATAACTAAATTGGCTAGACAGTTTTAATTGTGCTACATCCAAATCTTGATAGCTTCGTCTTTCAGGTGCGCCACCTCATCACGCTACAGTGAGCACCGCATTTCAGCAATGATCGAAGACAAATATTTAAGCCAAAAGTACAGGACAGGAGAGTACTTTCTTTGCCTTGATGATACCGGGGAAGGAGTACATTAAGTTGTATTGGCAGGTCATTCCCAAGTCGCAAAAATTAACAGAAAATCGAGCTTACAGTTAATTAGCAAAGCGCAATTATTCAACGCATGAAGTAAATAAAAGAGAATGAAATATTGTCCATTGAAGTTAGCAAAGATGTTTGTTGCAATAAGTTATGGAAAGCATATAACTTGAGAAAGCACTTGTTTAAGCGGCTTGAAATAAAAGCATGGAAGGTCACTAATGAAAGAGAGGTATATAAAAACAATCGGACTAAATCACCTGAGAGAAAGATGTGCAGTACCTGTGGGAACCTGAGTGTAGTTTTATACACGTAAGCGTAAACGCAAATTCAAAGTTACTTAATTATATGTCTGCATAGGGAGAGAAGCTTCAGCAGTGAAGTGTGTTAAGTTTCCAGAGCTGGCTTGTGACGCAATACTTGGTGTTGATTCACTACGCTACACCGAAGCTGTCCTCAATTTTGCGGAAGACACTTTTTCACCCACCGGTGCGATGAAGCCAACACAGATGGTTCGCTATCGAGAGAAGACCCAAATGGCATCTGCGGAGCGCCTTTTGAAGCTGCAGCCATACACACGAACAACTTAGATGATCTTCGCGCACACCTGACTCACATTTCTGATGACTAGAGGGTAGAATTTCGCCAGTTTCTGATTAAACACGCAAAAGTATTTGCATAGCAAGGCGCTAAGCTGGGTAGAACAAGTATTGCCAAGCATTCGATACCCATCTGGCAACCACCCAGATGTATTCCACCTCCTCCGTTAGAAGAAGTCATAAAACCACCACAGTTACCATGATGCTCGCCAATTGCACTGGTAAAGAAGGACGATGGGAGCCTACGTTTATACACTGACCAAGGGGAGCTGAAAATCGCAACTAAGAAGGACGCATTGCCATTACCCTGCATAAACGGTTCACTCGACTCCCGTCATGGGTCAAAGCGGTTCTACACCCTAGCCTTGAAATTGGGGTACTGGCAAGTGGAAGAGGTGGAAAAGGACAGAGAGAAGGCAGCTTCTGTATTGCTTTATGAATTGCAAACAATGCCCTTCGCACTCTGTAACGCTGTGGCCACCTACCAACGTCTCGTGCAAACAACATTAATTAGTTTATTCCGAGGGAGATATTCGAGAACATAACGCCAAACTAAAACTAGTATTCGACTGTCTGCTAGAAGCAGGATCGACCCTAAACGCAAAGAAATGCCGTTTTCTGCAATGCTCGATTACCTTCCTGCGACTCACACTCTCGTCAGATGGGATGGCAGTCACCGGAGACCACACAAAACAAGTGAGGACATGCCCAACAACAACAGCAACCGTTCAGAGCGAGCTCCACAGTTTCCTGGTTTTAGCAAATTACTCCAGTCGTTTTGTTAAAAGTTTTGCTAAGATCGCCAACCTGCTACATCAATTGTCCATTGAAGTTAGCAAAGATGTTTGTTGCAATAAGTTATGGAAAGCATATAACTTGAGAAAGCACTTGTTTAAGCGGCTTGAAATAAAAGCATGGAAGGTCACTAATGAAAGAGAGGTATATAAAAACAATCGGACTAAATCACCTGAGAGAAAGATGTGCAGTACCTGTGGGAACCTGAGTGTAGTTTTATACACGTAAGCGTAAACGCAAATTCAAAGTTACTTAATTATATGTCTGCATAGGGAGAGAAGCTTCAGCAGTGAAGTGTGTTAAGTTTCCAGAGCTGGCTTGTGACGCAATACTTGGTGTTGATTCACTACGCTACACCGAAGCTGTCCTCAATTTTGCGGAAGACACTTTTTCACCCACCGGTGCGATGAAGCCAACACAGATGGTTCGCTATCGAGAGAAGACCCAAATGGCATCTGCGGAGCGCCTTTTGAAGCTGCAGCCATACACACGAACAACTTAGATGATCTTCGCGCACACCTGACTCACATTTCTGATGACTAGAGGGTAGAATTTCGCCAGTTTCTGATTAAACACGCAAAAGTATTTGCATAGCAAGGCGCTAAGCTGGGTAGAACAAGTATTGCCAAGCATTCGATACCCATCTGGCAACCACCCAGATGTATTCCACCTCCTCCGTTAGAAGAAGTCATAAAACCACCACAGTTACCATGATGCTCGCCAATTGCACTGGTAAAGAAGGACGATGGGAGCCTACGTTTATACACTGACCAAGGGGAGCTGAAAATCGCAACTAAGAAGGACGCATTGCCATTACCCTGCATAAACGGTTCACTCGACTCCCGTCATGGGTCAAAGCGGTTCTACACCCTAGCCTTGAAATTGGGGTACTGGCAAGTGGAAGAGGTGGAAAAGGACAGAGAGAAGGCAGCTTCTGTATTGCTTTATGAATTGCAAACAATGCCCTTCGCACTCTGTAACGCTGTGGCCACCTACCAACGTCTCGTGCAAACAACATTAATTAGTTTATTCCGAGGGAGATATTCGAGAACATAACGCCAAACTAAAACTAGTATTCGACTGTCTGCTAGAAGCAGGATCGACCCTAAACGCAAAGAAATGCCGTTTTCTGCAATGCTCGATTACCTTCCTGCGACTCACACTCTCGTCAGATGGGATGGCAGTCACCGGAGACCACACAAAACAAGTGAGGACATGCCCAACAACAACAGCAACCGTTCAGAGCGAGCTCCACAGTTTCCTGGTTTTAGCAAATTACTCCAGTCGTTTTGTTAAAAGTTTTGCTAAGATCGCCAACCTGCTACATCA